CAGGTTTGGCTGGCTTGAGTTGTGGGGATCGAACCACAGCTACCTGAGCCTGACTGCTTTGTTGAAGCAGCCACTTAAAGAACTGAGCTAAAGGGCAGGCCCCCGCCCAGCTGCTTCTGGGAGGCTTATGCAGGAGACTCAAGTTTGAGGCAAAGTTGGGCTACCAGTGAGATACTGTCTCTAAAGCAAAAAATAAAAAAGGGATGAGAGTACCGTTCAGTACTAGAGGACTTGCTTAGTATGTAAGGGCTCTGGGTTCAGCCATAGTCCTGCAAAAAAGAAAAAGGAATACAACGAGGTGGGGAGCGGGCAGGCAGGCCTGGGTTACAAAGTAAGCTGAAGGTGAGCCTGAGTTGTATAACCAGACCCTCAAAAAGACCAGGAAAGAAAAAAAAAAAAAAAAAAGACCGGGGGGAAAAAAAAAGAAAAGAGGTGATTGTCCAGCTATCATTTTTCTTTCAAAGAAAGAAGCATAAAAAAAAAAAAAAAAAACCTTTTAAGGAGCCCGGGAGATGGCTCAGTAGAATAAGCACTTCCTTGGTAAGCACAAGAGCAAGAGCCTGAGTTCAATCCCCGGTTCCACAAAAAAAAAAAAAAAAAAAAAAAAAGAAGCATAACTAAGTTATTTTAAAAGGTGGAAGGAGTGCTCACACTTCTTGCATTTGGTTAGGTATAGCTCATATTTTTCCCCTACTGGGAATTGAGACCAGTGAGTACTCTGAGCTACATCCCCAGTCCTTTATATTATTAGAAAGGGTTTCAGTAAGTTTTCCAAGGGTTTCAGAATTTATTTTATACATAATACTTAGCAAACATAGTTACTTAAAATTTATTAAATTTTTATTTTTTTATTTTACTTTTGAGACAGGGTCTTGCTTTGCAGTTCAGGCTGGCCCTGAACTCACTATGTAGGCCAGGCTGGCCTCAATCTTGTTAATCCTTCTGTCTCAGCTCCCATGTGCTGGGATTACAGGTGTGAGCTATGCCCCACCTCACCCCCAACAGTGATTTTTAGGAACTGTGTTTAGCTACCTGGGACCTACAGAATTGAAGAGAGAATACGTGGAATTAGGAAACTGGGCTAGAGGCTATAGTGATTAGGGAAATTAGAAATGACAGGGTTAAGAATCGCATTAAGCCTTAAAAAAAATCAGTAGGATTAAAGTGAAAAGAAGCAGAAATACAGAGGCTGGAAGTAAGCTGCCTGTGCTCAGAGAAAGGCTGGCATGCAGCCTAGTAGGAGAGGTAAAACAAGGGGAGCTGGACCAGAAGTGGTGTTTGGGAAATGAAATGGAAGTCCTTACTTTAGTCGGTGAGCCTGGGAGTATTTTTTAAATAGTTGTGATATAGATTCCTCATTTTTATTGCAGTAGAGATGAAAAAATGATATCAACTTAAAATAGAGATCTAAATAAATGTTTAAAGACATTAGTTAGATACTAAAATATATATGTAAATGTTTATTAGTAAGAGAGGGACTGTTCAGGGATGAGAAAGTAATGAAATAAGTTATAAATAATGCATATTCCAGTTAAATTTTTTTCTATTAAAAATGTAAGTTAGGGAACTGGGGAGATAGCTCAGTGGTCTAAGCACCTGCCTGGCAAGCGCAAGGACCAAGGTTTGATCCCTGGTATCACATGCCAAACCAGATGTGCCGTGCCAGCCACTGAAACTGGGCATGGTGGCACATGTCTGTAATCCCAGCACTGGGGAGGCTGAAAGCAGGAGAACCACAACGAGTCCAAGCTGCATAGTGAGACCCTGTTCCAAATAAATTAAAATTTTTTTTTTTTTTTCGGAACCGGGGATTGAACTCAGGTCCTTGTGCTTGCCAGGGAAGCACTTACTCCGCTGAGCCATCTCCCTATCACCCCTAATTAATTTTTAAAAATTTAAAAAATATAAGTTTGGGCAGGGGAGATAGCTCAGAGGCATAAGCACCTCCCAAGTTCAATCTCTGGACCTGGATGCTGTGCCAGTCCTGGAATCCCAGGTGTGGTGGTGCACACCTATAATCCCAGTACCCAGTAGGTTGAGACAGGAGGCTTACTAAGAGTTTGAGATCAGCCTGGGTGCTACAAAAGTGAGCACAAAGCCAGCCTGAACTGCATAGCAAGACCCTGTCTCAAAAAAAAGGTAAGAGAAAGTGTATCTTCCCTTGAATTAACCCTGATATAAAAGAAACAGCTGTGGTGGTATGTGCCTGTAATCCCGGCACTTGGGAGGCTATAAACAGGCAGATCACTATGAGTCTGATCTAGTAGTAAGACCCTGAACACCTTGTAGACCCTTCCCTAAAATAAAAAATAAAAAAAGTGAAAGATTGACTGTAGCCATTTCTATGTTTTCAGTAGTGCACATAGCAAATGAAACAGCTTCTTTGCTCTTCTTTTGTTGTAGAGTTCTTTTGTTGTTTTTTGTCCCTATGCACTTCAGGCTGGCCTTGATCTAACTGTGTAACCCAACTCACAGCAGTCCTTCTGCCTCAGCCTCCCAAGTAATGTGGGATTACTGGTGTGTGCCACCACCCCCAGCACCCCAGCACGACAACCCCACCCCACCTCCAGCTGTTTTGGTTGAATAGTTGAAGTGATGACTTGGGCTAGGCCAGGTTGTTTTCCAGTTTTTAGCTATCTGTATCAGTAGACATTTTTCCCAAACAAAGAACTAGGTAATTTGAACAGATTTATCAATTTGTAACTGTGTAATACTTTTTGCAAAAGTTACCCATGGAATTTTAGAAAACTTCACTTTAAGGGAAGTCAGTGATCAAAATTAAATTGAAAGAAGAAAGAAGAATTGCACCAGCTTCAGCCCAGTCTCGGGGACTGTTTTTTCCCATCTCCTTGGAAACACAGGCTCAGCCTATGTTTTAACAGGTGACACCTGAGAGCACCGACCGTGTTACCCATGCATTAGACTTTATCTGTGTGTTAGAAACAGGTTGCAAAATAAGTAAATAAGAAAGCAAATTTTCCAGGTTGGTTTTTATAGTCTATTGGAAGTCACCTTTGGTTCTTCTGAGTCACCTTTTTCTTGAAAACATCCTGGTACTCATGTAGGTTTATTGACTGGTGTCGTGGTGGACTCGGGAGATGGCGTGACTCACATCTGCCCCGTGTATGAAGGCTTTTCTCTTCCACATCTCACCAGGAGACTGGACATTGCAGGCAGGGATATCACCAGGTATCTCATCAAGGTGAGTGAAAGGTTGGCAGAGAAACTAAAAGTTTGGCTTGTGTAGAGTTCTACACATGGGTCTGGGTGCGAGTGAGAAGCCTTTTTTTGCTGCTGTTGAGAAATGCTAGCTGTGGGTTCCGTTGGGTTGGGTTAGGTCTTCGCTTTCACTTGGGCTCTCTTGTCTTGTTTAGGATAATCTCATCATGTGGGGAGATGATGAGAATGACAGGACAGCACTCCCATGTCAGGCCAAAATTCTGTGTCTGAGATAACCAAAGAGTTTCTGCGGAGAGCACAAACATTAGCGGATTTGTTTTCTTTTTCCTTTTTCAACCAAAGCCCCAGTTATTATGTTCATGGTGATTATTATGCTATTTCTTTCAGTGGGGTTGATTTTAAAATAACATTTTCTATCTTTTAAGAAATAAAAGAGTTGGACATGGTAGCACAAATCTGTAGTTCCAGATAGGAAGGAAGGAAGGAAAGGAGGGAGAGAGGGAAGGAGCGAGAGAGGCAGGGACTAGAGATTATACTTTCAGGTATCCCACAAGTTCTTTTATTCAGTTGTTTAATAAATTCTTTTGCCTCTCTGATTTGTGCCAGAAGCCAGAGATAAAATTTGTATGACCTGTATTTCATAAATATGGCATAGTTTGAATGAGTGAATTGTAGGCTATACATCTAGTGCTAACATAATATTCATTCATCAGTATACTTTTTATTATTTATCACTACTGTACAGTATGTAAACTCTCTTAAAAACTAGGTGTTTTTCTAGGTTGTGTTCCATATTTATTATTCATGAACTGTTAATTCTCTTATGTGGTAAAACTGAAAATACAAATCCATGTTTAGTAAGCATTAATAATTTTTGTGAAGCAGAAGTCATTCAGATATATTTTGAACTTAAGTGTTTTTTTTTGTATTAGCTGCTTTTGTTGCGAGGATACGCCTTCAACCACTCTGCAGATTTTGAAACAGTTCGCATGATTAAGGAGAAGCTGTGCTATGTGGGATATAATATTGAACAAGAGCAGAAACTGGCCCTAGAAACCACAGTGTTAGTTGAATCTTACACAGTAAGTATATCCAGTGTGTGATATATGTATATTTGGTTCAGCACATTCCTGCATCTCTCTGTGAGGTGTGGTACCTGCATGACTGTCCCTTTTCTTCCCCGTTTCAGGCCACCCAATGGGAGTGAGGCATGTTCCACCAGAGGGAACTTTTTTTTTTGGTGGTATGGACAGTTGAACTCAGGACCCTGTGCCTGCCAAGCAAGCACTTATTCAACTGAGCTATCTCTCCTGCCCCAGTAAATATCTTTTTTTTTTTTTTTCTTCAGAACTGGGGATTGAACTCAGGCCCTTGTGCTTGCCAGGCAAGCGCTTATTCTACTGCGCCATCTCCCTGGCTCTAGGAACATATTAAAAGTGGACATTATTAGTGCCAGCTTAAAGAGCTTTTCTTAGAATCAGACTAGCTTTTATGGCACTAGAGGTCGAACCCAGGTCTTTGTGTATACTAGGCAGACAGTCTTCTAAGCTAAATTGCTGACCCCAGGAATCAGTATTTTTGTTTCAGGTTGTTTTATGTGTGTCTTTTACACACCTTTTTGTTTTATTTTTTATTGTTTAAAGAGAGTACAAAATGCTAAAAGAAAAAAATTGGAAGCGACACAATATTTCACTGAACAAAATAATAGGGATTTGTGATCTGTTATGTAATATTATCTTCAAATTAGTTGCTTAGATTCTATGATTTAATTGTTTTGGGAACTATATAAAGTGAATTAAGGCAAGACTCATAAATTCTCCCTTAAAATATAATTAGGTATATTATATTAAGGTCCTAGAATCTTGGATAGTATTTCTCAACATATGTTTTACAGAGTGATTATTCCCCTGACATGTTAAGAGTGCCGCATAATTAAAAAAGTTACAGTTATCAGGTAAATTTTATTTCACTTGCTGCAGGACTTCTCAGATCCTTTAATATGCTAATATGTATTCAACTGTGAGACTGCAGTATGTTTAGTTCTTTTTCTTTTTTTTTTTTTGCGGAACCAGGGATTGAACTCAGGCCCTTGTGCTTGTAGGAAAGCGCTTATTCCACTGAGCCATCTCCCCGGCCCCTGGCAGAAGGATTTTTTTTTTAATTTTTTTTTTGCTCCGAATGCCCTCAGGGCAGGTTTGGCTGGCTTGAGTTGTGGGGATCGAACCACAGCAACCTGAGCCTGACTGCTTTGTCGAAGCAGCCACTTAAAGAACTGAGCTAAGGGGCAGGCCCCCATTATGTTTATTTCTTAAACTTGGTAAACTACAGGACTTTTCAAAAATGAACCTAGGAATTTAAGAAATACATTTGGGGAAGTAATCCTGCAGATACTGCTTTACTAATTCAGTAGGTGGCAGCCTTTCCTGACCTAATATTTTCTTAATGGGTGTTTACAACAAATGTTAACCTCAAATCATAACTGAGATTTGATTTAGTTATTACTCAAATGAAAGAGTAATAGGCAATAAACGTGAGTTTTTTATTTTTTGAGATAGTCTCACTATGTAGCCCAGGCTACAACCTCAGGCATTCCTCCTGCCTCAGCCTCCTGAATGCTGGGATTGCAGTACTCCCAAACTGTATGACCATGTTACTTTTACATATTCACAAATATATGCAAAATGGCAATGTAAATTTTTTCTGTTTTTATTTTTTGGTGGTGCTAGGAATCCAGGTTTGTAGGCATGTTAGGGAAGTGGTCTGCCACTGTGCTATATTCCCAACCCCAGATATGTAATCAATTTTCAAGTAATGGTAATTTAAAGGTATCAATCTGAATACAACTCACTTTGTAATTTGATGCTTTCCAAGTTGCCCTGGATTGTCTTTTCCAAAGCTGCTGCTGCTTTTTTTTTTTTTTTTTTTTTTTTTTTTTTGCAGAGCTGGGAATTGAACTCAAGCCATTGAGCTTGCCAGGCAAGCGCTTATTCTACTGAGAACTTATTCTACTGAGTTATCCCCCACGCCCTATTCTACTGAGCTATCTCCCTGGCCCCCTCCTTTCTCATACAGTACAAGAACATACACAAGTTATATAGATGGATATAGATATAGACATATAGATAAGTGTAGATAAAGGTAGACAAATACAAGAAATAAATATAATTTATGTAAAGGTCATTCTTGAATTTTTGAAAAATGATTCCTTATATGTGTCTGCAAACAGTTTCAGCAAACATGGAGTCTGTCTTAAGGAACATGCTTTTGTGGTACTTTGTCATACTGGAAATATAAAATCATAAATATTACAAAATACTTATAATTAAATTTTTGTATTTATAAATAACTACTATTAGAAATATTGATGTAAAAAGTCTCATTTCATATAGACATATATCCAAACATATATAATATGTTACTTTGGTCAGTCTAATGTGGTGAAAGCTTAAGATGTGTTTCTACATGATTAAATATGAACACAATGTGAATTATTTTCTGTATAGGTCTTGTTATGCTGTTGGACCTGCAGTCAGTCGGTCGGTCGGTCGGTCGGTCGGTTTTCTGAGACAAGGTCTTGCTGTGCCGTCCAGACTGGCCTTGGACTCACAACAGTCCTGCCTCAGCCTCCCAGGTGTTGGAATTACAGGGTGTGCCACCGCGCTCTGCTAAACCTGCTGTATTGACTTGAATTATAATTGTGTTTATTATTTAAACTTTTTAAGGACCTTGTAGGAGGTAACAAAATGACCGAATAGAAAACAGTCTAGCCTTGGGTGTGGTGGCACATACCTGTAACTCCATCTGCTCTGAAAACTAAGGCAGGAAGATTGTATGTTCAAGGCTAGCCAGGCTGCATGGTAAGGTAGAACCAACCTAAGGTTTGTCATGTGTCCCTTGTCTCAGAACACCACGAAGGAGTCTGGATCAGTATTTCTTAAACTTTTTTTTGAGAAATGACTCTCTTATCTAGTCTGGTTTGTCCTCAAACTTGCAGCAATCTTCTTGCCTCAGCCTCCTGAGTGCTGCTGGGATTATAGGTGTGTGCCACCATGCCTGACCTCTTAAACTTTTTTCATCATAAATATTTTTTGAACTGAATTAGATAGGATCAGCACACATTAAATATTTTGATGGCAAAATAGCTTCATAGAACAATTCTTTGGTGAAAGAAAAATTTTTAAAAATTTCTATTAATGTAGCTGAGGGATTTATTTTAGAAAATTATTTAAAATGTTTAGTGTGTCTTCTACACAGAAAATCCATAAAATAACAAATTCATTGTAATTTGATGCTTTCCAAGTTGCCCTGGACTGTCTTTCCCAAAGCTGCTTCTTTTTTTTTTTTTTTAGAACAAGCAGCATTTGCACACCTGTAGTAATGAGAGCCTGGTGTCCCTGCTGCCCGCATGTGCATGTGGAACATGGTAGCACACATCTTGGTGACCTCACCATGAATTACACTTACGCACAGTAGAGCTCATGACAGTGTGTTATTGGAGTACCTTTTATTTTACCTTTATTTTCCACTGAAATATTTAGGGAAGAAATTACTGCTTCTAGTGATTTGTTTTTTCCTTTTTCTTTTTTTCCATCTAACGAAATGCTAAAATAAATGTTTTTCAAGAACACTGAGAAATTTGAGTGCTTTTACTGACTGCTAATACGGTTTTCTTCATTTCTAGCTCCCAGATGGACGAGTTATTAAAGTTGGGGGAGAGCGATTTGAAGCGCCAGAAGCTCTGTTTCAGCCTCACTTGATCAATGTTGAGGGTGTTGGTGTTGCTGAGTTGCTTTTTAACACAATCCAGGCAGCTGATATTGATACCAGGTATGAAAGACAGGATGGATTCCAAGCTATTCGTTAGAAAAAATAGAATGTAAATAATTCACATGAACAAGTCATCCATTATCCCATTTGCATGTTTGGTTAAAGCAAAGTAAGTTTGCTCTCGTTTGCTCTACAGCTTTGGGCCTTTCCCTGAGCTGTGTCCATAGCCTCGTGTGTGTGTGTGTGTGTGTGTGTGTGTGTGTGTG